CCTTAAAAATTTTAACTGTCTACATATTTTTATTTTATAGCTATAGCAAAAAAGCCTATTAAATTCATAAAAAACTAATCTCCCTTTCTGAAATCATCTAGCTGCTTTAGTTTGAACTTCACCCCACTACCAATGAGCTGTAGTGATCCAAGGGTGAGTTAATAAAACAAAATTAATTTCCGTGAAAAAAGAATATACTATAATACTAACTACCTTATAGGGTCACTAAAAGAATTAAATGAACGCTGTGAGGTCCATGACATAGAATAAGTGTTATGTCTACAATTATTAATAAATAAGAGGATCAAGAGTTCAAGGACACCCTGGATAAGACTTTGTCACAGAACAAAACGCAAACAAGAAAGAAAGCACTGCTGAATGTGATGATGCATACCTGTAACCCCTACTATTTGAGAGACCAAGGAAGAAGGATCCCAAGTTAGAGTCCAGTTTGGGCAACTGAGCAAGATTCTATCTCAAAATTTTAAATAGCCCTGATGATGCAGTTCTGTAGCAGAGCACTTGCCTAGCATGTGTGAGGTTATACAGTCAACACCCCATACTGCATGAGGAGGAAAAAAAGAGAAACATAGATAAACTACATTAAAGATAGCTGTTACAACTGGGCCTCATGGCACAGGCTTGAAACTCCCAACACTTTGGGAGGCTGATGCAGAAGATCTCAAGTTCAAGACCAGCCTGAGCAACTTTAAGACTGAGCAAGATCCTTTACAATTAAAAAAAAAAAAAAAATGCAGATGAAGTTTAGCAAGTTTACAATGTAGTTCAGTTCAATTCCCAAAATCACACACACAAACCACAAAGAAAAAGGTGGCTATAAACACTGTGTGTTTAAAAGTTCACTTTTTTTTTAGACCACATCTTTCTATATATATAGTTCAAGCTAGCCTTGAAATCACTATGTAGCCCATGCTGGCCTTGGACTCAGTTATCCTGCCTCAGCCTCCCAAGTGCCCAGACCACAACTAATTTTAAAAAGTGATTTTTTACAAAACTGAGAGTGGTGGTACATGCCTATAATCACAGCACTTTGGAAGCTGAGCCAGGTACTGTAAGTTCGAGGCCAGTCTGAAATACACAGCAAAATCTTGTCTCAAAACAAAACTTAGCTGCACAGGACTCTACATCTATACTCCTGGAAATACAGCAGTATTTAGGTTTGTCATGATTTGACAGAAACTTACTGAATAGTGTAGCTAAACTTCCCACTATTTCTGTAGAATTATGTCTAAAAAAAAATACCAAGTGGAAGGGAAATGAGCATCAGTGTTTGAGACAAAACAAACCCTTTTCTCTCTAGACATGACTATGGACTTCAGATGGAACAGTTGATATTTAAGGTGAGGGTAAGAATGAGATGAGTATCTGAAGGTTGCAGGTTGTAGGTTTCGTATTTCTTGCTAATAATCAAGAGTTGATAATCAAAAGGCAGCTGTGTGAATTCCCTAGCAGGAGAAAATGACATATGTGCTTATTACTACCATGCATGCAGCACACTTAATGGAGCCCTACTAGCTTTGTCCAGTTTTTCGTAACAGATCATCATCTTTAAACCCTACTGAAAAATCAAAACAAAAAAAAAAAATTTTTTTTTGGTATCGGGAATTGAATCCATGACCTCAAACTTACCAGGTAGGCACTGTGGCGCTGAGCTATATTCTAGGCCCTCAAAATCAAATTTAAGCTATCTTCTTGTTATTTTTCAGCTAAACTTAGAAATTTCTATATTATCAGACAGATATAAGGTATACAGTATTTTATAAAAGCGTTATTTGCCCATACTTTTCTGTTCAAATTGCATCAAATTTACATAAATTGAAGTGCAATTTGAATTATGAATACCAAAAACATACTTACTGGGTTAATTAACTCTGATACAGTAAGTTATTTAGTGAGGGAAAAAACACCTAAGTTAATTGACATAAGTCCACCAATCAGCAGTTTTCTAGTCATAAATGCATTAATTCTATTATATATCACTTGTTGGTATATATTTAAATCTTTTTAAAATGCATGGCAATACAAAACACATTACATTTGTAAATAGTAGGTTTGCAGCTGTCCAATTTGATTCTTATGAAATTAATGTACCGCACAATATAAAAATTCAAAATACAATGTGAAAGCAAGAACAATTATTTTTCTTTAGAGAAATCAAAATTATCTCTTAGGAAAAAGAAAAAAATTAACAACAGTCCAATATCGAACAATACGGAATGAAGATAAAGTCATGAAGAACGTAAGCCACTGGCGGTAAAATGGCCTGTCCTAGAGAAACTGTCTTGCCATCTTCACTAACAGTAATTTTGAACTAGCCACAATTCAAATGCTAACAAAATGATTAAGAGTACTGTCCCAATATTCAAAATTCTGACATATTACTTGGAAAGAAGTAAAATGATTTTCCTTAATTTCTCCCTTTGAAGTGACAGAATTTATAAATCATACACTAATGTAACTAAACTGATATACACTTATAACCACACATAAATATCAAACTAAAGGGACTGGGGATTTAGCTCAGCGGCATAAATGCCTACCTGGCAAGTGCAAAGTCATGAGGTCGATCCCCAACACCAAAAAAAAAAAAAACCAAGCTAAAAATGATTGATATATTATGTAATTTCTATAAAAACTTCCAAGTGTCTAAAAAAGGTGGGAAGACAAGCACAAAAAAAATTTTTTTCCTTAATAAAAACCTATGGCTATGTAAGTACTTATGACTATGCACAGCAGAAAAGCATTAAGGAAATTCACAAAGTAGCTCAAATATAAATGAATATAATTTTTACAGGCTTCAGAATTCACCACAGGCGCCTCAACTGCAACCCAATACAGTTTCACATTACTCAGCTGGTTTTTTTTTTTTTTAAACTATTTAAAACTGCTGGGGCTGAGAGTGTGCTTAGGAAACCAAAGACCCTGAGTTCAACATTCTGCACTAAATAAAACTGTCAAAAGATTTCTCCATTACTACCCGTGGCCAAAGGTGCAATAAAAGTAGTAAAAATTTGCATTTTTCACAAAAAATGAACACTTCGATATTATTTTAGATATATTCTCAAACAATTATAGATTCAATCTAAGTTTCAGCCTTCATGTATTTTGGATTTTTGGAATTCTCATCTCCCTAAATTTAAACTCACCACTCTCAAAATCTCTCTGGGTCAGTACTGTAATACCATACCAGTGACCACAACACTGGAAATTAAGCTCCTGAAAAGTTTATACGAACAAGGTTGAATCACATTTTGTATAACTTTATACCTTAACACCTGGTACACCATCCTAAACCCATCAATGGCTATAAATATTTATTGGCTCAAAATAGTCCTTCCCTATTCTGTTGCTGAAACAATGCCATAGCTGTGCAAAATTCAAAGGACCTAGAGGTTACTACAACATCACAGAATACATTATTTTATTGTTCAGAAGTTTTCACTCTTTGCCTTAGTCACCAACTGTGCTTTTTTGAATTTAAAAATGGACATCAGATCCTATCAAAAGCTTTAAGTTTGAATTGTACACATTCATCTTAATTATATATAATATTGTTTCAAAATCGGTTGATTTTATTAGCAACTTAGTTTTACGGTCAACCAAATTTCTGGAAACAAAAATAAAATCTATAAATAACAATCAAGCAGAAAAGTTGACTTGTATGTTGAAAACTTTCAGCAGTTTGCATCAATGTAATAAAATGTTTTTGATCATCTATAGCTCTTTTTATTGTTACTGGTAAACCATTACCAAAATAACAAACCACCATAAACAGACACAGATATATCTGTCGAGAAAGATCTAGTACAGGCTCCAAAGTGTCAACGGTCTTTTGCTAATGTATGTATTCAATTATGTACCTGAAATACTGTCACGTAGGTGTGACATTCCTAAAACGGAAAGCCCCAAAAGTTTCTGTGAACTAGTTCCAAAAAGAACTATGGAGAAATAAGTACCCTCCGCCTTTGATTTTCTGTCCTAAGATCAGCTTGCTTCAACTAAGTTTAAATGGCGCCTACATTGAAAGGAGAGCCTGCAGCACATATGGAAAGGGAAAAAAATCAAATAAAAAATGACCTTAAATGTTAAGCTACTATTTTCAATGAACTGTAAGAAAACTTCCCAGACTTCACTAGAGACACGCGGTACCAGGATCCAAGCGCCTGGAGGAGTGCGCGCCGCGAGGAGTGGATGAATGAATGGGAACATGCGCGAGCGTAGCGCAGCAGGTCCGGCCGGCAGACAGGCTGCAGCCAGAGTAGGCCTCGCTCCTCCCCTTCCCTTCTCCATGACAGCACAGTGCCCAGCACGAGGGGCGAGGACAATGTAACACCCCCCCCCTCCACCACCGCTGCCACCTCCGCCCTCCTAGGCTCCGCGCGCTCCCCGCGGGCCTCTTTCCACCAATCCACCACCCATCCTTACCGCACCCGCCGCAGCCCCTAGCGCGCAAGAGCAACACGCGCTCCCCTGTAGCCGCCGCGACCCCGCGCCCGTCCCTCTCACCTCCCAGCCCCGCGTGCCCACGGCTCCCAGTCCGCGATCCAGGGAGACGGCGCGCCAGGCACCCCAGCGCGGGAGAAAGGGAAGGAGAGGTTGCCGGGCTCCCTCCTCGTCGTCCTCCCAGATCGGCTCGCACTATCCTCCCGGTGCCTCCCAAGACCCTCCGTCACGAACAGCCCCGCACACCTACGCCGCGTCGGCCGCCGTCCCCGGCGAACCTCGGGGACCCCGCTGGCGCCGCGCGCCCCTCCCCCACGGCTCCCAGCCTCGGCCCCCGTCGGAAAGTGTGCGCTCCACGCCGCCTCGGCCGGCCGCCGGGGCACCCCCGGCTGCCCGCCGAAGCTCAGGTCCGACAGCAAGAGGAAGACGGGCAAGAGTAACGTGCGTGCAGGGAACGCATTCCCGCGCAGCGCCCTAGGCCAAAGGGAGACTGAGCGCGGGGACCCGCGGGGGTGGGGGCCAAAGGCAACTCTCACCGGTTCCACAGTCGCCATCTTAGATCGATCTGATCGCACAACCGCTCCTGGAGGGGGTGAGAGGAAAAAATGAGATTCAAACCGGATTGGCCGGGCACTGCCCACGTGACGGACGTATCCGTTTGGCCCTGGCCGCGCCTGCGCGAAACTGTGGCTACGTGATAAACGAGAGGCTTCTGGGAAATGAAGTCTCTTCTTTTTCTAAGGCAAAGACGTTGGGGTAGTCACGTGGCCGGTAGCCAGAGCGCCGGGCTCAGCGCGGTAGACGCTCGCGTGCTGCTGGGGGAGTGCCAGCCCTGTCAGCACCCGGAGCGGTCGCTGTGCCCTCGGCCGCCTTGTCTTCTCATTCTCCCCGGAAGGTTGGAATCCGCAGGTTCAGCACGCACAATAAGTCTTCATCTGCTTGTTTAATGCCCTAGGACTAATAATTTGTGTGTTCAGTTTTCTTTTGACCTCCCACCATTTTCTTGTACTGTAGTTTCAGAAAGAGGTGCGGTCCGGGAGTGCTTAGCGCGGTCAGCCCTACCGGGACCCTAGGCCCGTGGACGCCGGGGCGCTTGTTGCCATCACTACGGGGACGCGGCGCCGGGCCTCGTCACTCCAGGAGGGTGCCTGCCGGCCGCCGCGCCCTGAGTGGAAGATGGAGAAGGGAAGGCTCGTCGGGGTCGCGTTGGCGCGGCTGCAGTAGGCTGCTCTAGCCGGACAGAAATGGCTCGAGGTAGAGTGCCAGCGCAGGCGGCGTCCGGAGTCGCGAAGCCGGGGTGGCTCTGACTCCGGGCGCTGACTCGTCCTCCTGAGTCGAGCGACCCAGCCATTCAGTGCGCGACTTTTCATTTATGAGCCTAAGATGATCATACACTTGCGTCACAAGGGCAAGCTGTGGTAATGATGCCCCAGCTTTGACGAAGCATCGGACTCAGGTTAGTTTCGTAACAATCGCGTGCCTTCCTAGGCATCACCTGCTGCCCTGTGTTTTAAGCACTATTTTAAAGTTTTCTTTTGTTTACTTTATTACTTGATGGGACCAAAGCAAACTTAAAGTTTTAGGACCACAGTACCTCCCCAACCCCCCATTCCCTACAAGAGTAACTGCCCTCAGAGGTTTTAATGCTCAGGACTCCATTACTGTATATTCACAACCATCACTAGCAATTAGAAATTTGTCAACACTTTGGCATGCTGTATTTTCTTTCCTGTTTTTCAGAACAGTGTTATTCTGCACAGTCTGGTTATTCATACTACAAGTAGAGGGGAAGAGAACTAGAATAGTGCTCCATTAAAGACAATCTCATTGGTACTTCTCACCTCTTAAAAATAGTAACACCAGGAAAAGCAATGTAACAAGGCTGCCTATGCCTGTCTCCTTATGGTGCCGCTAATATCCAGAGCTGTGTCACACCTATTATTGAATGTACAATGGATGCTTGGGTTGACTAACGTATAATTGATTTTGTGTTAAGAACGCAAAGCCATTTCCAAACATGCTTTGGTTTACTTGGATAGTGGAGGTGACTAGTAAAACTTTTATGTTTAGACTGCTGCACTCCAATAGGTTCTAAAGTAGAATTCTAAAAAATAAACAGATAAATGGATTTCCTCTTACAAAAATTGTTACACTATTCAAAATAGGTACATACTGTTGCTCTCACTGATGCTTTCTGCTGGTTAAAGGTGATAACTGGTTAACTTCTTTGTGAAGTGAGCCCAAGGACAGCCTGAACTGCATAGTGAGACCCTGTCTAAAACAAACAAACAAGAAGACTACTACCTCAAAGATTTGGTGATTACATTTTGTTTAGTTATATCTGCAAATAATGATTAATTTCATTTTTGATCTTTTTAAATTTTGTTTTTGGATAGATTTTCATTATGTAACCTAGGCTGCACTTGTGGTCTCAAGCAGTCCTGCTTCAGCCTCTCAAGTAATTATGGTTACCTAGTGTGTACCACTATGTCCAGCTCCATGGTAATTTTTTTTTGAGATGAGATTTCATTATGTAGGGCGGGTTCAAGCTGGTCTTGAATTTGTGGCTCAGCTTCCCAAGTGATGGAACTACAGACCTATGCCGTCACACATAGCCTCCATGCTAATGTATCCAGCAAAAAATTTATGTTTTAGTTGTCTATTCACAAACACATTTACTACCTTGCTGCCATATTTGTGTTTACACTTAAGAAAAGGTAGATTTATAAAGATAGATTTATGTACTGAAATACTGTTCTCTATGATTGAGTTATATAGTTTATACATAATAACTATAGCCTGTAACTATGGACCATCATTGTATTTATTTTGTACCAGAGATTGAACTCATGACCTCACGCTTGCGAGGCAGGCACTCGTGCCTCTGAACTATATCCCTGGCCCTGAATATCATTTAGCATCTCTAAATAACCATGGTCTTTTCTCTACATGATATATTCTTGAAGGTGGTACATTACTGCTGTTTGTAGCTATAGTTCATACAGAAAGACTTTAAATAATTTGATAAAACACAGTTGCTTTATTATATGCTGAACTCTCTGCCATGGAATTTTATCTTGATTTTCCTAGGTAATCAAAGCCATCATTTTGCTGAGATTTTCAACTGATTTAAACTAACACCTGCTGTGATCTATTCAAAAGTATTACTATCGACTATCTAGCTTTTTGTTATTTTGTGGTCAACAGGCTTCACAGTTTTAAACATTCTGCTTAAATTAGGTATCTTTCAAGGTCTCTGATCAGTACTAAACAACTATTTTTTCTTGAAATAAATAGGCTTTGAGACAGAGATTATGAAATTGCATAATAAAATCAGTGATCCTTAATGTTGTATTGTTGGGAAGCAGTTTTAGATGTAACCTAAACTAACTTCTGATACTAACATCTTTTAACTCTATTCATTCTTTTTGTTTTGCTTTGTTTTGTTTTGTTTTTTGAGATAAGGTATTGCTATGTAGTCCAGGTTGCTGTTGAACTTACTATGAATTGCAGGTTGGCCTCGAACTCTAGATGACCCTCATTCCTTGGCCTTCCACGTGCCAGAATTACAGGCATGGTGCTCACTACTCCCAGTTTTTTGTTCACTCTTGGCTATTGTTATATTTTAACTTGCTTTTCAGAAAACTGTTGCTATGTTTGACAGTGACTTTCCTTTAAAATGTAAGATAATGGCTTCTAACAGACTAGTCTTTTAACTAATAATTACATAGTTTAACATTTAAGAACATGAGCACAAGTATCAAATTATCATAATTATAACTCCACTACTTAGTATATGACCATAAGCAGATTATTTAGCCTCTTTGGACCTCATTTTTTTCATGAATTAGGTGGTAAAAATAATACTTATTTTTTAAAGTCAGGATGAGTGATAAAGGAGTTAATTCACATATTATACTTAAAGTAGTTACTAGAATACAGTAAAAGCACTCATTGTTACCTATTATTAAAATGATGAAAATACAATTTACCATTTGTGTTTCTTAGTATGCACTAATATGTTTAAGAATTCTTTTAGAGAATCAACCCCTGACTATTATTTTTGAGGAAATTCCGAACTGCCACATATTTGAACAAACGTACTTAATGAACAATGATTTCATATCATATGCCAATCGTCTTTTATGTTGATTACTTCATTTGACTTTTACAAAAAATTATGTGATTTAAACATTATCATCCCATTTTATAGATAAGTAAATGTGCTCAGTAATATTAAAAGACATATAGGCAATGGTAAATTGTATTCAAACCCAAGTTTCTTGATTCCAAAATTCATTTTTTATACCATAGCCTCTTTCCTGTGATAGGGTCTTCCAAATACCTATTTCTCTTCAAAGTACTTCTACTTCCAAGTCCACTTACCTGTCTGACAAGAAACTACCCAAAGAATACTGAGTTAGGAATGGAAACTATAATAATCAGTAAAGGATATTTAAAGGATGAAAGAAGCATAGGCATTTCCTTCTTTGACTGTAAAATCCAGCTGATATATTGAGTCATAGAAATATAAATAGTTCACTACCCATATAAAGAAGTGTGACTAAGAACCAAAAGGATGCAGCTAACAAGCACAAGGAGGAGCACTCATTTGTGTAATGAATGACACAATTATAGGATTCTTCCTCTTATATCATTCAAGTCTTTGTTCTGGTGTTATCTCCTGAAAAAAGCCTTGACCAGACTGTTTAAATTAGCATTTCTATTACTCTATCACTTGCCATGCTTTATTTTCTTTGGTTCACTTCCTAGCCCTCACTCAAAACTTATTTTATTGAACATTATTTAGTTGTTGATGGACTCCATTACTAAAATATTAAGTCTTACGCTAAGCCACTTTGTATTTGTCTCTTGAATAAATAGTGGTGGAAAAACTGGCTCTATATATGCCAAAGATTAAATCTTTTATCATGTACTAAGCTAAAATCAGAGTGGATCAAAGATCTTAATATTAGAGCAGAAACATTAAATCTGCTAGAAGGTAGAGTAGGCAAAACACTTGAAGACATTGATGTAGGCAAAGACTTCATGAACAAAACCCTGACTGCACAAGAACTGTCACAAAGAATCTACAACTGGGATCTCACCCTACTGAAAAGCTTTCGCACAGCAAGAGAAACCACCAACAGAATGAAGAGACAACCCATAATATGGGAGAAAATGTTTGCCAGCTGTTCCTCAGACAAAGGATTATCTAGAACATATAAAGAACTCAAAAAACTCAGTCCTCCCAAACTTAAAAACCCAATCCAAAAATGGGCATCTGAGATGAATACATACTTCTCAGATAAGAAATACAAACAGCAAATAAATATGTGAAAAAATTATAACTGGTCATTCAAGAGCTGCAAGTTAAAATAATACTGAGATTTTTACCTCACCCCAGAAAGAAAGGCTACTATCAAAAAATCCAGCAATAACAAATTCTAGATGGACTGAGGAAAAGAGGAACCCTTGTCTTTTGTTGGGAATGCATATGGGTGCAACTACTGTGGAAATCAGTGCAGATGCCTCAAAAAACTAGAACTATCTCATCTCAGCAGTGGTAGAAAAAAAAAAAAAAACTAGAACTAGAGGTCTCATCTGACCTAGATATTCCCCTGCTGGATATCCTCCCGAAAGAATTAAAAACATCATACCACAGTGATATATCTGCACCCATGTTTATAGCAGCACAGTTTGTAATAGTCAGATT